CCTGGGAGGTTGGGAGGGCAGAGGATGGGAGGTGAGGGGCACCCCCCAAGGTCTCATGCAACCCCTCTCATTCTCTGTTTTGTGTGTTTCTTTGTCTCCTGCAGGTCGTCAGGGCCATCAACTCCCTGCTGCTGTGCAGAGTCGTCCGTCTTGAGGACCTGGATGAAACCATGGCTGGATTTGCTGCCCTGGGGTTCCCAAGCTGCGGGTTGGGAGGGCAGAGGATGGGAGGTGAGGGGCACCCCCCAAGGTCTCATGCAACCCCTCTCATTCTCTGTTTTGTGTGTTTCTTTGTCTCCTGCAGGTCGTCAGGGCCATCAACTCCCTGCTGCTGTGCAGAGTCGTCCGTCTTGAGGACCTGGATGAAACCATGGCTGGATTTGCTGCCCTGGGGTTCCCAAGCTGCGGGGGAGCCATCGACAGCACGCATATCCCCATCTAGGCCCTGGACCATCAAGTAGCCCAGTTCATCAACCAAAAGGACTACTTTCCTGTTGTCCTGAAGGCTCTGGTGGACCACCCCCATTTACATGGGGGTGGTTGGGCAGGGCACACGATGCCCAAGTTTTTAGGAATTCTAGCCTGTGCGCCAAGCTGGAAGTGGGCTCCTTTTTCCCCTGCCAGGACTTTGCGGTGGGTGACCAGAACATGCCAGTGTGCATAGTGGAGGACGCAGCATACCCACTCATGTCCTGGATGATGAAGCCATACACTGGCCACCTCGATCCCAGCAAGGACCATTTCAATGCCTGCCTCAACCGAGTGAAGATGCAGGTGGAGTGCGCCTTTGGGCACCTCAAGGGACGCTTCCACTGTCTCCTCTCCTGGCTGGACGTCAGGGAGCACAATATCCCTGAGGTGGTGAGAGCGTCCTGTGTGCCCCACAATCTTGTGGAGCACAAGGGGGAGGCCTCCCTCCCGGGTTGGGGGGGCAGATGCCGGCCTCGAGGGCCATGCGTTTGAGCAGCCCTGGACAGCTGCCACCCGCCAGGCCCATCAGTTGGGGGTGCGCATCTGGGAGGCCCTGAGGGAGAGTTTCTCTCAGGCCCCCAGTAACTCTCCCCAGGGCCTTCCCAACAGGGGTTCTGTCTTTCCGCTTTCTCCCTTCCCCTTCTCACCCCCTCCCTGACCTCCCAATAAACACACCTGTTTGGTTTTGGGGAAAAGGCAGATGCCGGCCTCGAGGGCCATGCGTTTGAGCAGCCCTGGACAGCTGCCACCCGCCAGGCCCATCAGTTGGGGGTGCGCATCTGGGAGGCCCTGAGGGAGAGTTTCTCTCAGGCCCCCAGTAACTCTCCCCAGGGCCTTCCCAACAGGGGTTCTGTCTTTCCGCTTTCTCCCTTCCCCTTCTCACCCCCTCCCTGACCTCCCAATAAACACACCTGTTTGGTTTTGGGGAAAAAAAAAGTCTCTCTTTATTGAACATGAGGAGAAGGTAGGCAGGGGGATGAGGGGCTGTCTGGACTGGGATGGGGGATCAGGACTGGGAGGAGTAGTGGGGCAGGTTGCTGTGCTACCTCGGGTGCAGGGACCTCTTTGGGGTGAGCAGGAAGGACAGCTAGAGCGGGGTCAGGATTGGCAGGAGAAGGGGCCATAGGCATCATTTGGGGAGGAGGCATGAGCATCGGTAAGGGAGGGATCAGAGGCATGGCAGGGTGGGCAGACAAATGGGAAATGGCCATGGGGGAGGGGGAGGCAGGAGCAGCGGCATCAGGTGGGTGTTCCCCAGTGTGGGACATAATGCGGCATAGTGTCACACCACGCCATCATTTCGGTCCATGCATGCTCCCGCCATTCCAGGTCCACACTGAACCTGCACGACACGGTGTCGTGGATGTTGCGCAGGATGCCGACATGTTGTCACATGAGGTCCTCGGGCACCCTGGCTCGTCTGTGGGTCCCCGGACTCTGGCAGGTGGCTGCGGCAGTGATGTGGCTTGGCCCTCTGTCCCAGCTGTGGAGAACACACAAGAGGGAGAGGCCATTAGTCATCCCTGCATACACATTCCCTGAAGCCGTGCCCTCCTCTGTGAGCGGCAACTGCACCAGCCCGCGGCCCATGGGAGTGGGATGTCCTGGGTGCAAGGCCATGTGTAGCCTGCACAGCACTCCCTATGTCACAGGGGCCCCGATGTGACCAGAGGACCGTGTTGCCCCCTTTCCCTCCCCCACACACAGCACATCCAGGCAGGCAAGGGAAGTGTGTGGCCACAGTGGAATCCCCTAGTGGGTAGCAGAGGAGCTCGGAGCAGCCCGCTGCACGTGCACAGACTGCAGCACCGTGTGCTGCCTGAGCAACCCAAACTACACTAGGCCTCCGCTCCCTGTGCGCCCGCCTCCCCCGCTCTGTGAGTGTGTGTGTGCCAACTCACCTGAAGATCCCTAGGCCTGGGAGACATCCTAGCTGGCGGGGACTGGCTCGAGGGACAGGATGACGGTCCCTGGCTCCTGCTCCTCCTCTGGCTGGGGCTGGGCCTGGGCCTGGCCCTCCAGCTCCTCCTCAGAGATGCCCTCCAGGCAGATGACTACCAGTGTGTCCAGGCCAGAGTCCATCATGGTGGGGGAGGAAGAGGTTTCCCCGCCCCCCAAGATGTGGTGGAGCTCCGTGTAATAGGGGCAGGTGTGGGATCCTGCTCCTGAGCGCGCCCTGTGTTCTGTGGCCCTCACGTACCCGACAGAGCTCCTTCACCTTTGCCCGGACTTGCTCCGTGGTCCAGGCAGGGTGACCTCTCTTTGCCAGGGATATAGCCATGCAGGAGAAGATCTCCGCGTTGCAGCGCTTGGCCCGGGGATCCTGGAGTGGCAACTCTCACCCCACAATTTGAGGAGGGTCGCAATCTCTGGGCCTCTCCAGGTCAGGGCAGGCCTTTTTGTCCTCCTGGGGGGTCCTGGGACCCCCTGTGGCTGCTCCCTGGAAGGACGAGGGGGGTTCTCGGAGAGCTTGCTGGTTGGCCATTGCAGCTGAAGCAGAGCTGTGCAGTGAAGGCACCTGCTCTCTACAAACAACTGTGCACAAGGCTTTTCCAGGGTGCCCGCAGCTCTAAGGGGGCTCCAGCAGACAGAAACTATAGAGTTCTGATTTACTTGGATGGAGTGGCCAAGACACCACCTGGTTTTTTTCGTGGAGGCCAATTCTTGCACAAAACCCCCTGCTGCCTGTCTACGCACACCTTTTTGTGCAAGCACTCTTGTGCAAAAAGGAGTTATTCCTTGTAGAATGAGGAATGCCTATACTGCAAAAAGCCCTCTGTTCTGTCGTTTCAGTGTAAATTTACTTGTGCAAAAATGCACTTGAGGCGGGGACGCTCCGTGGGTTTTTGCACAAAACCCTCAGTGCCCTGCCAAGCAGCAGGAAATAAGTGACAGCACGTGGGGAGCCTCAGGGCTTTCTTCCCTCCCCCGCACACAGGAAGCTGGTGTTGGTGCCTGCATGGGCTCTGCCCTGTCTCTTCAGCCCCCCAGCCACTCCTTGCTCCCTCCTCCATGTCCCATGCCTGTCTACATGGACTCATGAGGTGGTGCAGCCAAAGGGGTGTAGTGGGACTGCAGAGGGAGGGGGATCTGAGGGAAAATCCACGAAAACCCTGTCCCGTGGCCCTACTGCCCCGACCTTGGCAGCAGCCTGAGACAGACTTTGTTCCTCTTCTCGGGCTTTTTTGTGTTTTGATTTTTCTTTGCACATGTTAAGTTCCTGACATCCTGGGACCCTGGCACTCTATGGCTGTGACTCTGCTCTGCTGTAGCTCCAGCCCGACTATGCACACAGGGACCCCCACATGCTCTGGCTCTGAAGCCACTGCCTCTCTCAGGACTACAAATTCCTTCCCTCGCTTCTTCCCCCACCCTCACAGGCTGCAGCGGGAGCCCCTGGCTCTCCTCCCCGTTTGCGAGCTCCCCTCCTGGCCAAAGCTCCTGGCCAAAGCTCCTGCCTCTGCCTCCCCAAACTCCTTCAAACTTTCCTCGCCACAGCAGGGACAAGATTAGTTGGTGGGGGTGGTGCTTGTGGACAGAGTGATGTAACACTCTGTTGTCCCAAAGGAAAAAGTTTTATATACGGAGAAAGATGAAGGGTAACTACTCCTGCAAGAACAGGTTAGGCATTTTAGAACCCACTACTCAAAGAATTACATGTAAATGTAAGAGAAATAAAAACTATGAAATACACAGATCAATCAACACATGGAAAGAACACACTTCAAAAGAATAATTACAGAGAACCAGGGGGCCCCCTGCTCACTACACTTGCCAACCCTCATGTCTTGTGGAAAGTAGGCAACCCCAGCTCTCCCCCTGGCCACCAGAGAGGGCAGGGCTGCAGCCACACCAGCCCGGACCCCTTCTCCCTCCTCCCACCAGTGCCCCTTTTTCTTCCCCACCTCCAGCCGCAGCAGCCTGGGCCCTTTCTCCCTCTCCCACCCATGCCATCCCAGGCCCTTTCTCACGCCCCAGCCGTGGATTAACCTTAACCCCCTTCCCTGCGGAGGCCACATGACTTCTGGCTCTACTCCTGGCAGCTGGGGAAGGCCAGGCCAGAGCAGCAGCATGCCAGGCCTGGCTCTGCCCCCAGCGGCTGTGGAAGGCCAAGCTGAGGCATTCCAGACCTGGCTCTCCACGCAGCCTCAAGAGTGGGCTGGGCTGGTAGCAGGTGGGCTTGGCTCCAAGGACCAGGCCTGGGGCAGAAGGGGCAGCGCCGGGGCGGGACTTTACCTGCCCTTGCCTACCTACGCCAGTCTGTGGACACTGTGACGTGATGATGTCATTTTGGTGGCCCACAGGGAAAAAATGGTTATATAGAGAGAAATACATGTGAAGTGCAGGAAGTATCAAGAAGTAATATCAATAATACAAGTGTGTGTTGGGAGGTGAGTGTGAAAAAGCCTGTGTATGACACCAGTGACTGTGTATGTGCTGGCTGATGGGGAAGCTTTGGAGAGAGACTGTGAGCAGGCTCTTTAAGGCACTCGCTGAAAGCTCTTCTGCTCTGACCTGAGACCTGCCGCCCAGAGGCTCATTCAGATCTCAGACCACAGCACCTCTCCCCTGATTTGAGCCCTCAGCTAGGATGTCCCTTCTCCCCTACTCTGTAGAGATGGGAGAACAGGGGGTGACAGAAGGCGGACACCCTGACATCAGCACACACACACACCATACACACTCTCTCTCTCTCTCTCTCTGCACAGCCAGCAGGAGGATCCCTGGAGAAGGTTCAGGAACAACAAGGCTGCAATGCAGGAGGGGGTGGCCTGACCACATGCGGTTGTACACAGCTCTGCTTATCGAGTGCACGGCACTGGATATGCTCCTGCACAGCTGCCCAACTGTGCAGCGTAGAGGGAACACAGGTTGTGTCCCCACTTATCCTTGTCTGCGTCCCCCACAAGCCCTGGAGCTAGGAATGAGGGGGGGGGGGGGAGATGTGGCCCAGGAGTAAAAGGATTGAGACTAGGGCTGCAGTGTGGGGCGAGACTAGGAGTGGGGCTAGGGCTGGAGCCGCAAAGGCTGAAGCTGGGGGCAGAGCCGCAACTGATATGCAATGGGGGACCCATAGCAACACCCACAGTCAGTGCAGCTCCTCTCCTGCCCACATCCCCAGCTCCAAGCCAGAGCCAGCGCCTGAGGGCAGGAGCAGAGCCACACTGAGGCTGAGGATAAGACCAGGCACAGAGAGTCAGTGATGTGACTGGGTGCAGGGTGGGGAGAGGCGCTGGGCCAGGCCTGGCGGGGGAGGAGCCAGGCTGGGCAGTGC